GGCTGCTAATGGAAACTTGCATTCTTAAAAGCATTTTCATTAATATTTCCACAGAAGAAAGGCACTCAGTTATGGAAGTAAAAAAGGTTGAATAAATAATTTTGTGTAAATAATTTTGTTTTTATATATGCTTAAACAATTCAGGCGGGGTTTGACACTGTTGTAAAGTCACAGTCTATACTGACATTTTTATCACAAGTGCTGTTTAACAGAGAGAAGATTTTTCAGCATAATTATTTTAATAACTAATTCCTAATGAGTAATTTATTTTGTATTTCTCATGATGACAGAATATATAATTTTGCTAGTTATTTTGAAAGTTACTAATAACTTAAATTGCCATTTAAAGTTGAAGTTTACTAGGCATGTCTGGTTAATTAGGAAAGTGAATGGGCAACTGTGGTTGGTTCTGTAGACAAAGAAAGAAAAACCATTTCTAAAGGGGGCTAATAACATTGGCTTTAGCTGTTTTTACATTTCAAAACCTATTTATTTATTCCATCCAAACTAAAAGAAAGAATATCATAGGAAATATTGTAAAAAAAACGTCCTTGCTTTGTTTAACTTGTGAAATATTTGAAAAATAAATACATTTTCTCAGGAGGGCTAATATAAACTGTTTAGTTCCAAGTAGTTTAGGAAAATGAGGGATGTTTCCGCTTGGTGGCGCTGTGGAGTATGTTTAAGAACAGGACACAAAGTGTAACAGCCTTTTACTTCATATTCCTCACTAGATTTATGAACTGATTGCCTGCAATGAACAGAGAATTTTTATTTAAATCCTAAAATTTAACTAAAGCTCACTTAGGACACGATAAACTCATTACCCTTCTAAATATGAAAAAATATATATATATTTTTAAGATTTCTTCTAATACAATGACTATGACTCTAGGCCACCCTAAATAATTAACATAACTTTTCCAGTTGTTCTTGATTTACTGCATAAGAATATTGCATTTTAAAATATTATACTCACAGTAATCTAAACTCTTGGCATATCTAGAAAGATTTGCACGCATTATAACCATGCCTATGGTGTTCATCCAGGTCTATAAATTATTTTCACAATTAAAGTATACCTTTAGGTTTTCTAAGACTGTGAGAATCCTGTATCTTAGCTGTTTTTGGTTTAATTTAACTAACAATGAGCAATTTAGTAAAGTATTTATTAGTCTCTCTGTATGTTTGTTAATAAACACAGTTGTCCATTATTATTTTAAATTAGCCATGTTTCATTAAATAATATTTGAAGAGTTCAGTTGCAAAAACCTCTGCATTATTCTAAGCATTTTTTTTTTCAGGCTACTGTCTATTGGTTCTATTTATTTTTTATTTAAAATGAACTAACTAAACATAAACATTGGAGGAAAACATGCTAATTTTAGACAAAAATTTCAGATGGCACTTCAGAACCCTTCATTTATCCATTATAAAAATTATAAAATTATAAATATAAATATAAAAATAAATATATAAAGTTTACACATATTTTTCACATTAAATGTACTAATAAACAAGTGTATTATGAAGCGTTATTCTAATTTGAAATAATTAAAGGGCCTAGATTAAGCTGTGGCCCTGCTGGATGATCAATATTTTAAGACAGAGTTTTGCTGATTAAGAAATTAAAGGAGTAGTTGACATTGAAATGGAAATTTTGCCATCATTTACTCATCTTAAAATTTTTCCAAACTCGTATGACTGACTTCGGTTCAGCACAAAATTAATTTATAAACTGAACATCAACCAAACAATTAATTACTTCATAAAAACGTAATTTATTTTTTATTAAAAGCAATTCTATGTCATCTGATGACACAAGGATGAGTAAATGAGTATGTGCAATGCAAATTTTCAGGGCAATTCACTTTTTACATGTAAAACACTGTATTATGTTAAAATCAATATGAATTCTTTGATTAAATAAAGTATGCATGATAATAGTTTTAGAGTTAAATCGAAATTCCACTAGAGGGGGCTCAAAAAATTCAACATGACTAGTTTTTGTTTACAAATACAGTCCAAAACAAACATTAAACAAACAAAACTATCATTTTAATGTACCCCCTCAACACCCCTGTCTATTTAATGACTTTCCTCCAGTTTCAGAGACAATGCTTAAGTCTATTCCTAGACTAAATTGCATGTTTGAGCTGTCTTAACTAAAAATATCCTGCAGTGACAAACTAAAAATACATCAGCGCCACAGAATAGTTTCAAGATACACACCAGTAATGTGTTCTTCCAAGTCAATTTATTATAAAATCTACTTAGTTATTTAATTTAATAAAAGCTTAGTCCTGGCTTAAGCTAACCCTGATTGTGAGAAAAGAGATTAAAGTTCCTGTGCTTTTGAAAAATCTCTATAAATGAGAAAAGATCATTTTAAAATGTGACTTAAGGCATAGTTATAATGAATATGGGGTTTCAAGCATCAATAAATTAGGGTGAATTATAACTTTTCTTCGTTGCATTGTAAAGTATCTTCTTTAAATCATGTTTTTAGATCAAGAAATGACTATATAATATATTCTTATGATTTATAGAAGACCATTAACATGTCATTTAGCGTAACAATAGTTTATATACTGGACTAGAAGGCTTGTCAAGCATATTTATAACAAGAATCATCTGAAGACATATTAAAAGATTCTATTTACGGATTGCAAATATATTTATATGATCATTTTACTTACTTTGTCACTATTCTTGAAACTACTAGTATTACCAATGTGTCAATAAGAGGTTTTTAATCATTTTAAATATATATTCTAAATATTAAAATGATCACTTAATTTAGATCAACATAACTATATTGTTACATTTTTACATGAATACATCTGTTACACAGTGAAAAAATAAATCTGTAATGTTTACAGTAAAAATCCTGCAGGTGTGATTGCCAGAATTTACAAATGAAAAATTTTGGAAATACATCCAAAACATTTACGGTAAAATCGTAAACCACGAAATTTGGGGATTTCTTTTATTTAACAGTAAAACTCTAGCAACCAGGTGCCATTGTCAGAATTTTACTGTTAAAATGAATTAGCTATTTTAACAGTGAACTACAATGTTTAATTTATCTGTTAATACATCAAGGTTATAAAGTACTAACATTGACACAATGTAGCTTTCTTACAAAATACAAAAACCCAATCAAAAGACAAAAACACAAACCAGACCAAAAGACAACCGAATGCAGGGGGTGACGAGAAAGTCCTATGAAGAACCAATGCTCATTTTCCCACAAGGAGAGAAACGCACAAATATTTAGAAGGCACTCGGGTGTCATTTACACAAATAGCTTCATAGTAACACACACGAAACTGAAGTAATGCAACAACTAAAAGAACCACAGCAAGGTCAACAGAGAAGCATAAAATATATACATACATTACCTGACAAAAGTGTTGTCGCCTATCCAAGTTTTAGTAACAACAAATAATAACTTGACTTCTAGTTGATCGTTTGGCATCAGAAGCGGCTTATATGAAAGGCAAAGGCCTCTAGTTAAGACAGTAAGGTCTGACTTTGCTTACACAAAAGTCTTGTCACTTAACAGCAATAATGTACAGTATAGAATATAAAGCCATGCTGCAGTGGTAGAAGAATGAATATTGTGTATGACTCACATGAGCTTGGACGACTGCTCATAAAGTCATCTGGAATGGCAAAGAAAGCGTTCTTGCAGGACTCCCAGAGTTCATCAAGATTCTTTGGATTCATCTTCAATGCCTCCTACATCTTACCCCAGACATACTCAATAATGTTCATGTCTGGTGACTGGGCTGGCCAATCCTGGAGCACCTTGACCTTCTTTGATGTGGAGGCTGAAGTATGAGGAGGAGCGCTATCATGCTGAAGAATTTGCCCTCTGCTGTGGTTTGTAATGTAATGGGCAGCACAAATGTCTTGATACCTCAGGCTGTTGATGTTGCCATCTACTCTGCAGATCTCTCACACGCCCCCATACTGAATGTAACCCCAAACCATGATTTTTCCTTCACCAAACTTGACTGATTTCTGTGAGAATCTTGGGTCCATGCGGGTTCCAGTAGGTCTTCTGCAGTATTTGTGATGATTGGGATGCAGCTCAACAGATGATTCATCTGAAAAATCTACCTTCTGCCACTTTGCACTTACAACTGGGATCGACGACAGGACTTTTATCAGGTAGTGTATACATATGAATATATATATATATTAGATAATAACTGAATAATAAATATAATAAATAGTTTGATTTTCTTTAAAGAAGCTTACTGTTTACCAGGTTATATTTTTACTGAAGCATTTTTAACAGTTAAAATGACGGACATTTTTTTTTTTACAGAGCACTGAATGACGATGGAACCTTATTTCAACATATTTTGACATTTTATTTTCAGAAGGTTAATTTGAAACATTAAAGTAGACAGTATAAGTGCATTTAAAATGCTTTTGTATGTCTGTACATTCATCTTTTAAATATAAATGCAGAAAGCAAAGTTTAAAATGATGGTAAATGTATTTAAAAAGCAATCCCTAATGGAATACACCAGACTGACGCCTCAACTAATCAGCTCCAAGACCCGAAATGGGTACATGGGATAAGGAAGACATACAAAATATGTACTGTTGGTGTCCTGAGCGAGGCACAGAGACACTGACACATTCACCTCAGTGCAGTGTGCTGTTAAGGGGTCATCTAATTGCCATTTACTCATCGAACACATAATCATCCAGATGCACCCTGAAGAAGCACAGAATCAGTGCAATGGTTTTTCATGAGGAAAGGGTGATATTAGCTGAGCCTGGAGTCCCTTAAAGAGAGTTTCTTATTGGTTACTGGCCCAAAAAAAAAGGACTAATCCATAATTGCTAAAATAACAGTGTAATCACTCCCACAATGCAGCCTTTGTGAATGAGATCATGCTTATTTGTTCGTGGAGTGATTACGAATTGTACGATTTTCTGTGCTCGTTGGAAGAAGATACAGGAAAACGACACACATCTTAAATAGCAATGCATTTCAAATGTATTTTCAATTTGTACATAAGCACTTCATATAAATGTAAACCACAAACCCTCAAGAGTATACAGCACTTTTTTTTTGGTACAAAACAACCAGACGACACACACGCGAACGCATGCAGACGCACTCCGGATAGTCCTAGTATATGGCACATACAAACAATTGATTCCAAAAATATATATCGAGTAATTAACGTATGCAATATCAAATCGTAGCATGTCCATAAAACCCTGTGTTAAAGAATAGGAACAACTGGAAATCGAATAAACCGCCATATCTCAGACCTTGGAAAACACAGTTGGTGCAAAGTAAAAAAAAAAAATGTAAACATTGCATCATGCTACAAAATGGAGAGGCTATTTGTTAGTAGTACACACAAACCTGCTCCTGACTGACAATGCTGACAGGACCAGGCCTTAAAGAGATAGTTCACCCAAAAATTACTCGCCCTCGTTTGGTTTTAAGCCTCTATGGGCTGTATTTTAACAATCTAAATGCGTAACGCACAAATAAAGTGCACTTAGGGCATGTCTGAATCTACTTTTGCAAATTTAAGGAAGGAAAAAATGGTGGAGGTAGCTTCTTTTATATTTATTATATACTGTAGACAATGATAATCTTTTACATTTTAATCCTTTCATTTTTACATATTTAAAGATATTTCTGTTATTCGGTTCATACTTGTGTGTAGAATGTGCCTATCTTTAAAGCCCTCTTTAAATAATAATAATAATAATAATAATAATAATAATAATAATAATAATAATAATAAAATAATAGTAAAAAAAAAAAACACCATTGACCATAGACCAGCTTTGAGTTGGTCAATGGTGTGGTCTATTTCTGTTGCCTCAAACAGGGGCGGACTGGCCATAGGACATTTCCCATTGGCCTGATGGCCAATCTGGCCTGTCACTGTGAATCTGGCTTGACCCTATTCTCACCCAACCACCTTCCCCCACCTTCACTTACCAATCCTGGGCAAATATACTTTTCCAGTCCATGCCTGGCCTTAAAAGAGCAAAGAACCAAACAATGCGCCTTAACACACCTCCTTTTCAGACAAGCATGCTCATGGTTGCACATATTAGTGCACATGTATTTGCTTTTTAAAACACGGCGCAGGTCATGAAAATAATGGACCCTTTCACATTTTTGTTGGAAGTTGTCATAATTGGGAAAACTTAGAGCACAGTGAATGGGAGAGTATAGCAAATTGTTTATTTACATTCCTATTTGCTGAAAAAAGAAAAGAAAAACTCAAAGATAGTGCTATCAAAACTTTCAAAACAAGGAAAAAAAAATTGTGAGTGATGATGAGAGCCAGCGTCAAATTCACTGTCCTGTCCATAGACACCTCGCGTTTTGGACACAAAAGAAGATTTTTTTTGAAGAATGCTAGTTGATGCTCTCCATTGACTTCCATACAACACAAGCTCATTGTGGATACATACCCCCACATTTCTGGAGCACGAATCATGTAGCCAGAGGTATGTATGGCTGCATTTCGTCTTTAAAATGAACGCTACGGGGTGATATGACATTGCTAATGACTTCTGTTTCTTTTAGTGGTACCAGGTGACCACTTACCTCTATATGGACGGCTTTTCTGGTGTTACCAGTGTACTCAGAAGCTCGCCGCATACGCTGATGAACTTGGGATAGGAGGCTTAGTTGACTGCAACGACGGGGTTCGAGTTCGACGAAGAACGGTTCCATAAACCAGGTATGACAAAAGCTAAATAATAAATAAAGAAACAACAGGCTGAAAATGTGGTGAAATCATGTGGCCGTGACTGCTTTTCTTTGACTAGATTGCTTTTGAAAACACTATCGGTTGGGTTTAGGGACAGGGATGGATGGGCCAATCAGTCAGTCATTAGATCACTCAAGTTAGTTGTAAGCAGGCTGGCCTGGTCTACTGATGTGTATAATGTGCCCTCTAGTGGATTTATTCGAAAAAAGGATGCGTGAGAGAAATTTGAGATCATCAAAAAGCCCACACAGTGCTATCTGGTAGATTTGCAAAAATAAATGCAAGCAGACGTACCTGCAGTTACGTATTTCGCTGACCCCAAAAATGTAGACCTGGGTATGTATCCACAATGAGCCTTGGTTGTGCTGATGACTGTTAATTGTGTCAATACAGTTTTGTGTAAAAGGTCAATACCTGTGCCAGGCTGAAAATAGCCAAAAACACATATTGCAGCAGGTGTCTGATAAGGCCCTTTAAGTTTTTTCTTCTGTTGGACACAAAAAGTATTTTGGAGAATGCTGATTGATGGTACCCATTGATTTCCATACAACACAGGCTCATTGTCGATATGTACCTATCTCTATATTTCTGGAGAGCGTGAATTAGCCAGAGGTACGTTTGGCAGCAATTCGTCTTCAAGATGAATGCTATGGGATGGTATGGTGCTGTCAACAGCTTCTGTTTATTTTAGCACTAGCAGCTGACCTCTGTATGGACGGCTTTTCTAGTGCTACCCCATACGCCCAGTATATGCTGATGGACTTGGGATGCGAGGCTTAGTTGACTGCGATGACAGGGTTCGAGTTCAGTGAAGATTAGTTTCATAAACCAGATAAGACAAAATCTAAATAATAAATAAAGAAACAACAGGCTGAAATGTGATTAAGTCATGTGGCCGTGACTGCTTTTCTTTCTCTAGATTGCTTTTGAAAACAATCGGTTGGGTTTAGGGACAGGGGTGGTTGGGTCAGTCGGTCAGTCAATCGATAAGTCAGTCAAAAGAAAGCTGACCTGGTTGGCTGAAGTGTATATTGCGCCCTCTAGTAGATTCATGCGAGAAGAGGATGCGTGAGAGAAATTTGAGACTATCAAAAAGCATACACAGTGCCATCTGGTGGATTTGCAAAAGCCAAAAATGCAAGCAGATCTACCTTCAGTGACGTATTTTGCTGTCCCCAGAAATGTAGACCTGGATACATATTAATAATGAGCCTGGGTTGCTTCATAGTATGAAAAAAATGGCCATTGATGTATCATCAACCAACATTCGTCCAAATAACTTCCTTTAGTAAATGTTAGCGATTTCATTTTTGCGTGAACTATCCATTTAAGTACCCTCCCATGTTGTCATGACGATATCATACATGTATATCGTTTCGATGCGTTTATGGCAGGCAGTTGACATGCACCCCCATGTTTCATTAAGACGCGTCTTAGTCTGTAAGCGTTACGAAAGCACTGAACATTGAAATACATTGGGAATCAGTTATTCCAAAAAGAGAATTGTGCTACACCAGAGTAAAATTCACTTCAACGTTACAAAATGTGTAGAAAACGTGCAGCGCGCAAGAAAGAGAGAGAAAGAGAGAGAGAGTGGGTGAAAAACACACTTTGACTGACACCGAGTCTCTTCCTCCACCCTCCTTTAAACAGCGCAAAGTGTGTAATTTACTCCCAACTACTTGGCCCCTAGTTAGCTCATATAATTATCCACCTCATACCAATCAAATCCATTAACCTATCATGACTGATTTCCTGGCGGGATTCTTCCTCCTCAGTCGTGGCAGGTGGTCTGAGGCAGCTCATTGGCCAGAATGTGCCAGCGCTCCACCCTTTGACCCTTGTTCCTCAGGCAGTCCATCCAGTGGCGAAGGGCATCTCCCTGGACGTGACAGCTCAGGCACACGCCACCTGCCAATCAACAGGGGGATTTTGTGTTAATCGTGGCTGTGTTTGTCATGGCAAATTATCTCCTCAGTTATCAATAAATGAGTCGAGTCAAGGAGCTGCCAGATACTTTATTGCTGGAGCAGTAAAGAGACATCAACTCCAGTCTTTCTGAGTCTGCCTTCTGCTCTCAAACTACATGTCTTATACCATTTTCAATTCTCTACTGATTCTCTAGCATTATTTCCTAAGTTGTTTGTGTGTGTGCATGTGTGGAAAATCTCACCCTTCAGCTTGTTTAACAATCTTATGCATATAATTTCATATACAGTCATTAAACAATTCATATACAATAAAGTCAAAATTATTGGGCCTCCTGTAAAATTTGATATATTTATTTATTTCCCTAGTAAGGATTAACACATTAGACAATAGTTTGTAATGACTAATTCTTTTGTTTTTGCCATGCTGACAATATATACTCTTTAACTAGTTACTTTACAAGATACTAGTCTTCAGCTTGAAGTCATTGAACAGCAGTGGTTTATTCTGTAGCCAATTGAATAAAAGGATTGAATAATAAAAATAATATTGGCTATTAGTTACATTTTTTAACTGTTTTTATTCTAGACAAACAAGCAGGAAAAAAAGATTTTCTTTAGAAGAAAAATAAACATTGGAAATTGTTATAAATTTCTAAAATTTATATATATATACACTCACCGGCCACTTTATTAGGTACACCTGTCCAACTGCATGTTAACGCACATTTCTAATAAGCCAATCACATGGCAGCAACTCAATGCATTTAGGCATGTAGACAAGGTCAAGGTGATCTTCTGCAGTTAAAACCGAGCATCAGAATAAAGAAGAAAGGTTATTTAAGTGACTTTGATGGTTGTTGGTGCCAGATGGGCTGGTCTGAGAATTTCAGAAACTGCTATTCCACTGGAATTTTCATGCACAACCATCTCTAGGGTTTAGAGAGAATGGTCCAGAAGAGAAAATATCCATTGAGAGGCAGTTCTGTGGAAGCAGAGGCCTTGTCGATGTCAGAGGTCAGATGAGAATAGCCAGACTTGTTTCAGCTGATAGAAAGGCAACAGTTACACAAATAACCACCCGTTACAACGGAGGTATGCATCTCTGAACACACAACATGTCCAACCTTGAGGCGGATGGGCTACAGCAGCAGAAGACCACACCGGGTGAATAGGAAACTAAGGCTAAAATTCACACAGGCTCACCAAAATTAAACAATAGAAGATTGGAAATACATTGCCTGGTCTGATGAGTCTCCATTTCTGCTGCAACATTCAGATGGTAGGGTCAGAATTTGGCGTCAACAACATCAAAGCATGGATCCATCCTGCCTTGTATCAACGAATCAGACTGGTGGTGGTGGTGTAATGGTGTGGGGGATATTTTCCTGGCACAATTTGAACCCATTAGTACCAATTGAGCATTGTGTCAACGCAACAGCCTACCTAAGTATTGTTGCTGACCATGTCCATCCCTTTATGACCATAATGTACCCATCTTCTGATGGCTACTTCCAGCAGGTGAGCAGGTTATGTCAAAGCGTGAATCATCTCAGACTGGTTTCTTGAACATGACAATGAGTTTACTTTACTCAAATGGCCTCCACAGTCACCAGATCTCAATCCAATAGAGCACCTTTGGGATGTGGTGGAACGGAAGATTCACATCATGGATGTGCAGCCGACACATCTGCAGCAACTGTGTGATGCTATTATGGACCAAAACCTCTGAGGAATATTTCCAGTATCTTGTTGAATCTATGACAGGAAAGATTAAGGCAGTTTTGAAGGCAAAAGTGGGTCTAACCCGGTACTAGTAAGGTGTTCGTAATAAAGTGGCCGGTGAGTGTATATGTTTTAAATTGTTCTCTTCCCCCCCCCACTTTTCAGCAACATAAATAACATTACTTGATTCACAATGCATGCATGTGACCTAGATATGACTGTCCAAATGTGCATGACAGAAGGCATCTTAGATCAGGCTTAAAGGGACAGTTTACCCAAAAATGGAAATTGTCATAATTTACTCTTCCTCCACTTGTTTTAAAACACCAAGAAAAAAAACACATCACTGAATTCCATAATATTTTCCTTTGTTCCTACTATGGAAGTCAATGGCTGCTTTCCGTAACATTCTTCAGAATATCTTGTTTTGTAATCACGAAGGAAGAAATTCATAATTGTGTGAGTAAAAAGTGAGACAATTTTCATTTTTTGGCCGAACTGAATCTCTTTAACCAAAGAAATCCATACAATTTACAATTTTAACTGATCCAGGTTTAATTATTAATGTTATATAGTATAAAATCAAAATAATAGTGTTTTGATTACCATGTAGTGTACTGAATACTGCCTACTGCAGCTAAAAATAGTTTTATAACACAACATTATGCAGCCATTACCACTTCAGCTGTGCATTTAGGTCTGAAAGTATAACCAGTGATTATTTGCATCATCATTTCTTTTGTGCAGTGCACCACATGAGTAATCAAATGGTTTTAGTATATGTATAAAAGTTGCCACTATTATGCAACAGTTCATAATTTATTTTTGGAGGTCTCCTATAAAAATTTACATCCATCACAGGTCAAATACGCTCTACAAATTCTATGTGAGACTTTTTTTTCTCTCTCTGATGATAGTTTAAGTAAGGCTTTCATTTAAATGTGACTTACGATCACCAGCAGTGTTGCTCTTACAGGTTGCTGGAGAACACTTTCTGTCATTCTACTGAACTACAAATCCCATAATGCCCTTCAGTCACACACCTGTTTCAGGTAACATCTTGATTTCACACACACAGCTGAAGCTGATCATGACTGAATACTTGGACTATATACACACACCTCTCGCATACTTTAATTATTAACAAAATGTATTATTTTGCAGTGGATTTTGATACAGATGAGGACAATTTGGTTTTGGTTTAGTAACATAAGTAAAGACGTATTGATGGTTTCCTGACTTAATTTGTCCCGGTAGTACACTCTGGCAAAAAAGATGATACGTATATAATTAAAAATGCTCCAACTATTTTAAAAGCCCACATCTGAGCACATTTCTTTCTGCTTCTGAGTTGTCTTTCAGTGACAATGAAGGTCCAGTAGAACTCTACTGAACCACTGCTGTATGTCACCGCTGAGGGCAGTGTAAAAATCTCAATCTCTCCCTCTTTTTGAGCAGCAAAAGCACAATACCAAACATCTTGTTTTACTCCTTGATGTCCGATACATTTAAGAAGTGTGTTTTCTTTGAGCCGGCAAAACTAAATGTTCAGATTAAATATTGTATGTAACTGCTTGTATTTAATGGACAATTTGTATACAAAGTAATATTAATAATTGAGGATGTAGTGAATAGTCAACGCACTGTGATTTATTATTGTAGTATTTAACAATCGATGACATCATAATCATAATCAAAAAGGGAATCACGAGACCTGTGTGTGTTCACACCAATATGTGGTGGGAAGGCAGCTAAATATGAACTCGCACACACCCTTTTTACTAGTTACCAGGGGTCTGATTTATAAAATTTGCATTAAAAACCTTCCTAAAAGTAAATGTACTAGAATAAAGTTTAATGTATGCTCTCATATAATGACTTAAAGTAGTTCAAGTCAATATGTCAGTTAAATATGTTTCAAGTTTACTTACAGTTGTGCACATTCTCCCATTAAATTTCAAGAGTTTACACTTAGCTGATGATTGATTATTAAGCTTGTTTGGCATGAGCTCATAAGATCCTCGAGCCCAGGGCTGCCTCCCGTTTGCAAGGTGAGAGGGGAGTTTGAGCTCAGGTAGATCTCGAGAACTCCCCTGCTGTAATAGCTAATGAACAGATAGTGATTGCTCTCAAGAGATAACTTACTAGGAGCATGTCTATGGTGCCAATTTGGATTAGTCAATTAACTTAAGTTGCATGTTTTTTGTTCGACTGGCTTGGTAAGAACTTGAACCACTGACGTTCTTACTGTGAGGCAACAGTGCTAACCACTGTGACACCATGCCACCCATCCAGGAAAGGAGCAGGAGTAGGGGTGGAAGGGGGATTCTACAAAACGGAGATGGCTGTCATATGGAACTTAGGGTATTTATAGTGGCTTATAGGAATTGTCTGATTGGTGAATTATAAATTGAATAATGCAGGGCCGGCTGCAAGAAATAATAAGCACCTGATCCTCTCCAAATTAGTTTAGAAATAAACTTCACGTATTTATTGTAGATCACCTTTTTTACTTTTTATTTTTTAGAGTTTTGCGTGAGAAGTGGAGTACGCACATTTCTGTCCATGTTTTGAGTACTCCACGTTTATAAACACTTTTGAGACAGTTTTGCAGTTACTTTAAAAAGTAGTGCATTACAATATCGAGTTACTCCCCAAAAAAGTAACTAGTTGAGTTACTTAGTTACTTTTTATGGAAAGCAATGTGTTAAGTTACTTTTGAGTTACTTTTCTAACTAACTGAGGCTACTTTTAAAATGTAACAAATATTATCACTTCATTATTTTAAGTAATGCGTTACTTTACTCGTTACTTAGAAAAGAAATATTATTACACAATATTATTACCCCAACACTGTTAATAAATGAGACCCCAGTTCAATTGAGGAAAAAAAAATCCACTATAGACATTTCCCTTGAGTGTGCCTAATTGGTCTAAAAGGTATTTTGTGACAGCCACTTATAAAGTGTGAGACAGAAACAAAATGTCCATTTCCATATCTGATTTTCTGCTCCAAAGACTTCCTCAGCACTTGAACATGTCATAATTGAAACAGTAATGATCTGTTTTACCATATCAATTAAGCATGAATCCTAATCCTTTAGAAGTGCATGCTAAGTAGATTTGCGATTGCAGCAACATCTGTTGAAAAACACAAATCAAACTCTCCCAGGCTTCAGCTACAACTATAGTGTTTGAGGGTCGAAGTAGACATTTTTTTCACAAGCATCCAGTGAAGACCATAGGGATTTTATGCTGATTTGTAACCAACATAGGTTTGTGCTGGAGGTAAGACTGAAATTACAGACAACAGTCGGGCAGTTAAGAAAATGTCAATTCTTTGGAAAGACAATAACTAATACTTTAGAAATCAATCAATCTAAAGTTTAATATTTACAGTGCTCAGCATAACTACAAACAAATATTTTTATCCATTTAGTCAATGACTATAGATAATAAATACAGTTGAAATAAGAATTTTTAGCCCCCCTGAATTATTAGCCCCCCCTGAATTATTAGCCCCTCTGTTCATTTTTTTCCTTCCAAATTTCTCTTTAATGAAGACATTTTTTCAACACATTTCTAAATATAATAGTTTTATTAACTCATTTCTAATAACTGTTTTCTTTTATATTTGCCATGATGACAGTAAATAATATTTTAGTAGATATTTTTGGCAGGTTAGGGTAATTAGGTAAGTTACTGTATGATAATGGTTTGTTCTGTAGACTATGGGGAAAAAGAGCTTAAAGGGGCTAATAATTTTGACCTTATAATGGATCATAAACAATTAAAAACTGCTTTTATTATAGCCAAAATAAAATAAATAAGACTTTCTTTAGAAGAAAAAAATATTATCAGACATACTGTGAAAATGTCCTTGCTGTGTTAAACATAATTTGTGAAATATTTAAAAAAGGGAGAAAAAAAATTAAACTGGGGCTAATCATTTTGACTTCAAGTGTATGATGCTTTTAAAACAAAACAGATTTATGAAACAAATATATTTATTAAAACAACATTTTAGGCACTGAACATATTTAGAAATAGAATACATTTAAAGTAATAAAAAAAAAACTAATTACAAATAGCAACATTTAAACAAAATTTAATACATTTTTGCTTCTCTTTAATTTTTCACTTTAAATTCTTCACTTTCACCAATTGGTGAAGTTTTTTCCTCGCTGCTGTCGCCACTGGCTTGCATGGTTTAGGATCTGTAGAGCTGTTGATGGATTTGCTCTTCAGTGTTTGAACTCTCAATAGTGATTATTAACCACACTGAACTGAGCTAAACTGAACTGAACTAAAACACTGAAAACTGAACTACACTATTTCAATTTACTATGATCTTCTATGTGAAGCTGCTCTGACACAATTTACTTTGTAAAAGCGCTATACAAATAAAGGGGAATTTAATTGAATTCTTTTGATTTTTTTTCTTTTTAAAATTTGTATTTAATATATTTTTTTTTAAAAGATTATAAACTTGGGTGTACTAGTTTTTGGACCGTTATTGTAAGTTATTTTGTTAGATTAGTTCCAGATTTGAATTCAGTACTGACTAAACTAATCTATATCCACAATTAAAATATTGTATAGCATCCAATAGAAAAAATTTATTAAAAAAATAGATTTTTGAGGGGTGTACTCATATGGTGAGTACTGTTTATTTATACAATTTATTACTAATAGTATACAATTAATAATACATTTAATTGCAATTCAGTAGTTTGCAATTTAATAGTACAATATGTGACTCTGGAGCTTATGTTGCAAGGGCATATTTTTGGCAATGGTCAAAAATACATTGTATGGGTCAGAATTATATATAATATTATTATATAATATTATATAGAGTACACCCCTCACAAATCTATCTTTTAAATTCATATAAAATAAAAAAAAACATAAATTAAATAAAATCAAGAGAAGCAAAAAAATAAAATATTTAGATTAAATTTTAAAGGTTGTAATTACTTTTTTCAATATTTTGCTTGAATTTAATTGTATTATCTTTATGTTCTAAATATGTTTAAATACACCTATATTCACTAAGAAATGGATAAAATGTTCATTTTCAAAATGAGGTGTCCTTAATTATGCTGAGCACTGTATATTATTATAAATGATTAAAATAATATTATTACTAGTAAATTTTCTACTGTAAGTGTATCGAAACCTAATTTTTAGATTAGCAATGTGCATTGTTAAGCTCTACATTTCAATAACTGAATTAAAAGTAATTAAATCAATAATTATTTCTGAGATTTCAACATCAGTTCTCTCAAGATTGTTTTTGCATAAAAAACATTTTGAAACAACAAAGTTCTTAGGGTTTATTGGGGACAACCTAATTGTTTTATGTTCAACCCCCTTAAATTTGTAAAAACAATTGTGTTTTGTGACAACATAGGCCTTGTTCATATGTGGAAATTTATCCGATATGAATCTAATCCGTGCCCTCATGTCTGCAGCGCAAGCAGGTAGATCGGATGTTCACCTGTCAATGTGAGTCGCGCATGAATAAAAACTATAACGAATGACGTCAACTCTGACGCTTTCATTTCAGAACAGACTTCAGCAGAGTCCCAAAGCTTAAATCTCATACACAAGGATTAAAAAAAGTGTTTTTATTGTCATAGAGCACAAGTATTTAAGCATGATAACGAGAGAGAGAGAGAGAGAGAGAGAGAGCACAGTATACCAATATAGATCAATATATAACCAATGTAAACAAAACTATTGCATACACCACGTGCATAAATCACACCATGGACATTACATTAAGATGCCTACTGGTTTAAAAAGGTCTAGATTAAAAGAAGATGGCCAAATGAGAGCGTTTCTGTCATAAACTACAGGAAAACATCTTGTCAAAAACTTTTTAAAAAATGAGACCCTGCAAACAGATTAAATACAGGAATGGAGAAAAGAGCACTCTTTTATTATCAGCTGTCAGTCAGCACTTGCTATTTTTTCTTTGTCATTGCACCTTTGCTGTGTACTGTGTAAGTGCAGACAATCAGATACGAGTAACTTTTAAAAGATGATGTTAGCCGGTCATCAGAAAAAAAAAAACGGGAACAGTCACAAAATCGGAATCAACCATCAAGATCTGCAGTGTAAATGCAGCCATAAAGGAGTTGTGTGAAACCCAGCATTTTTACAGTGTAATTTTGTGGTCCAGGGTCACAAATGTTTTGTTTTACATTACAATAAATTGTCCTTGAGGTTAAAACTATTGGAGTTGTTTTAATGTACCCCACAGTCCGAAGACATGCGGTACAGGTGAATTGGGTAGGCTAAATTGTCCGTAGTGTATGAGTGTGTGTGTGAATGTTTCCCAGGCGGTTCATTCCGCTGTGGCGACCCCAGATTTATAAAGGGACTAAGCCGACAAGAAAATGAATGAATGAATGAATGAATTAAAATAATTGTTCATTGCATGAAAATAAATGTCAGCCTATCAGTATTGGCCCAAATTTTCACATTGTTGCATCAGTCTCCTCATCAGACGATAATTGCGTGCACTCACCTATGAAATCGTTAGATCTTCCCAGATCATAGTCCCATACTGTGACCTCCAGCGTCTTATGAACCAGCTCAGATAGAGAGATCTCATAGAAAAACTCCTGTTGGTGGTAAAATACAACATGGATTATCTCAGCAGTTCAACAGATTCATTATAGCATCAGGTAGATTGAAAGGCGACGCCTTCAGTTCTCATTTTATCAAGCAAAATGTTATGAAATGCCACTTTTGATCTCCCCCTAATTCATTTCAAAGACATTTTTAAACAGAGAAGGATTTCATAAGCATCGTTTTGACAGCTCAGAAGCCACCTGGGGAATGATCAAAATACTGAACCCCATGAAAACTGTAGAGAAACAAATGGGATTTTATAACTCTGCCAAACAGATGTTCCCATCTGGGGTCTCACACCCACTGCCTGAAGCCTGCCATGTGCCTGAATTTAACAAAAATAAACATTTAGGCAATAGAAAGTAGCTGTGTTTCCATCTAAAACTGGAATACCACATAAAACATTTGGGAATAAAGCACTGTTTTGTCCAATGAGTCAGAGAGAACAAAATAGTCACTTCCTGATAAATTGGCACCAAATATCTGAGGTAAATGTAATTTCCTGCAGTAGGAGAAGACACTGTGGGCTTTTTTCTTATATAATAAATTACTTGTCCCTCAAAAGGTGAAATGCAATGAACACACAGTGAATATTGGAGGTGAAAGACACTCTTCAGAAGCAAAGATGCTCAACACAATTCTGGAGGACTGAACCACTGTGATGACAGACTTTGGCTGAGGGGTTTTAAAATGACCAAACAGCATCATTCATTCATTTTCCTTCAGCTTAATTCCTTATTTATCAGGGGTCGCCACAGCGGAATGAACCGCCAACTATTACAGCTTATGTTTGCCCTTCCAGCCGCAAACCAGTACTGGGAAACACCCATACACTCTTGCATTCATACACACATTAAATAGGCCTATTTATATGTTACTACTAGTAGGCTCAGAAGGGTGTTATGATCCGCCCACATGGTTAATCAGCTATAGATCACATAAGGCTGGGGCCTGAAGTTAACGAGAATTATTTTTATTACTTATTAAATCTCCCATTAACTGAGTTTTATTAAGGTCCACCCCAACCGTAAACTCAACCGTCACACTAATGTAAAAACAGATCTGCATCTGGAGTGTTGTCGATTAGTATGGCTGATTAACCATGTGGATATATGATAACAGCCTTCTGAGCCTACTAGTAGGCGCAGAAGGCCCTTACTGAACCAAATATCAGCTGATAACCACTAATAACGCTCCATATCGAGTGATAACATTCAAAGCGGGTGCACTCACACACTATGGCCCATTTTAGTTTATTCAATCCCCCTATAGCGTATGTCTTTGGACTGTGGGGGAAACCGGAGCACCAGGAGGAAACAGACAGTGCTAACCACTAAGCCACCATGCCGCCAACCAAAACAACATTTCAGATGTTTTACATTGTAATCTGTCAACTGGTTTGTCTATTAATTACACTTTTTTTGCTGTGCATGCTACAATTAATTCAATAAATATGTTTCCATTGTATGGCGTCACGGGGGCTCAGTGGGTAGTATGTTAGCCTCACAGCAAGAAGATTGCTGGTTTAAGCCCCAGTTGGGTCAGTTGGCATTGCTGTGTGGCGTTTGCATGTTCTCCCTGTGTCGGCACAGGTTTCCTTGGGGTGCTCTGGTTTCCTCCACAGTCCAAAGACATTTGCTATAGGGGAATTAAATAAGCTAAATTGGCCGTAGTGTATGTGTGAATGTATGGGTGTTTCCCAGTTTTGTGTTGTGGCTCAAAGGGCATCCACTGTTTAAAACCTATGCTCGCTAAGTTGGCGGTTCGTTTCACTGTGGCGGAATTGTATAAAATACACATAATGGGAAATGTATTAAATTGTATAAATAATTCTTGTTAACTTCCAGGTGCAGCCATATGCAATCTATAGCTGATTAACTATGTGAATGGATAACAACCTTCTGAGCCTACTAGTAGTAACATTTGGCTGGTGAGTGTGTGTGTATGAATGCGAGAGTGTATGTGTGTTTCCCAGTACTGGGTTGCAGCTGGATAGGCATTCGCTGTGTGAAACATATGCTGGAATAGTTGGCAGTTCATTCCGCTGTGGGGACCCCTGATTAATAAAGGGACTAAGCCGAAAATATAATGAATGAATGAATGTTGTCATTGTAGTTTATGCAAATTTTTTCTTATCAAATAAGAAGATTATCCTACTCAGTTGTGCACATATGTGATTTGTATGTACAATTTCAAGATGTAAGCACATCTTGTCATTTCCGTCAAGCATTTTCTTTATCTTACATTCCAAATGTGCATAAAAATAGATGGATGGAAACATAGCTAGTGATGCATTCTAAATAGAGGCTGCCAGGTTAAATCATGCCGGGATCAAACCACCTGGACCTCCCCCTTCTGACCTCCCTTCTCTCCCCGGAGCTGAAAACAGCCACACATGTTCATACCAGTTCATAAAACAGAAACTGGAGCAATTTCTAAATATAATACACAGAGGAGCGCTGCAGCTTCTGCCTCTTGTTCCTTCCAGGAATTTCCAGCACCCTCACGAACAGCTTTGATATGATGTGATATCACGGTTTCGCTGAGAGGGCTCCCGTGGAGCAGGGGGCAAACCTGCTTTTAAGCAGATAGCGGTGTGTGAGATTGGAACGAGCAGACTTCAATCTGAGCCAAGCAGTAATTATACCACCAGTCTGGGTGTGTATTACTTCTGAGTGAATGGAAACAAAACACTTAGCCTTTCTGGTGATCGCCTGCCGCCCACATGACAGAGCAAGCGTGAGACAGACGGGAAGGAGGAGAGAGAGAGAGAAAAAAGCAACAGAGTGTCCAAATAAAACAGGGATGTGATGCTAATGAAACATGGTGATGAAAGATACAAGAGAGTTTGGGAAGTTGACAAATAGGCAATAAAGATGTTTTTGTTTTGAAATCTGATGTTTGAGGAAATATAAGTGGTCACTGATTTGATCAATTCTTCACTGTTTCTTTGTAATGTAAAAATGTCCTATGGTGTGACATAGCAAACACTAAGTAAAACAACTCTTAAAGGAGACCTATTATGCAAAAATCACTTTTATATGGCGTTTAAACCCAGTTGTGTGGCAACAGTCTGTGAATATAAGCAGATTCTAATAGTAAAAATGTATTCACTTTTTTTTCTCTAATAGCACTTGATAAAAACAGTCTGTGTAAACACTTTGATTGACATTCTCACTTTGTACGTGTCATCAGACGGGGAAAGCCCTGCACATTAGTGGTGATTCTTCCTTCATTAGTATAGGATGTTAGTCTCGTTTTTGAATCTGCCACTATGCTGACACACAGGCATTTGTAGCTCTGGCCTATTTTAAAAAGAGCCCAATCTCATTTGAATTCAACAGGAGTCACTAAAATGGCACAATTTGGATCAAAGCCTAAAATAGGCAGCTTCAAAGAGTTTAAAACATTAATTGTGGCGTATTTTGATCTGAAAATTCACATGCACACTCTAGGAACAGAGACTTATTTTACATCTCATAAAAAGGTGCATAATAGGTCCCTTTTAATAATAAACAAATAGCATTAGAGCAATTTATCCCATCTTCATGTAACCCAGGTAAAATAAACATTACTGTGACTAAATGCTAATTGAATTGAATACATGTCAAACATTGGATCTGATTTATTTTATTAGTTTTTTTTTTATTGTTTGCTTTTTTAATGAAGTTGCATAAATTTTGCAATGTTTAGGTAAAATGAAAAACAAAAATGTGATTTTCTTATGTCTATCTAACTTGATGTTTTAACCTGAGACCCTCTCAGAATCTGATTGGCTAAGGCAGCGCAATCTCACGAAAATTCGTAACTTTTTGATTTAGTGGCTAATTCGTATGAATTCGAACGATCTTATTCGTACAATTTAGTACGATTTGCTCATCAAGGACGGTTGGGGTTAGGGGTCGGGTTGGATGCCACGCCTCCTTTTTAAAATCGTAAATGTTTGTATGACTGAACTCGTACAAATTTGTACGAATTAGCCACTACACTGACAAAACGTAAAATACTTACATTTCCTCATGAGATCAAGCTGGCTCAGGGAACAGAATTACCTTTGAACGAACACTGTGATACTGAAAATAGGAAACATACTGAAAAGAGGAAACTATTTGTCTGTGACTGTTCAATATTAGGGGAAGGTTGGTGAACATTTTGCCCTTTATAAGCGTAATTGAGTGGTTCTCATTTTGTTTCGGGTGTAAAATTATAGATATTCTGTTTCATTAATTTTTGATATTTCAGAGACTAATTGTATCACTATAAAGTGAGCTTTGTATGTTGAAATAAAATTAAGACACAGTCATATGTTTTGATGAAATGTACTTTTTATTTTTATTGTTTTTTGTATTGTTAGAACTGGTGGGTTTGATTTATTATTTATTTATTTTTATCCCATTTTATTTGTTTATTTTATATTTAGTTAAACAATATGTAACAATTGGCTTAAAGGTGAATTAAAGGATCTGTTAATTAATTTTCAATCTTGTCATTTGTCTAATTGTCATTTCAGAGAGTTATTCCAAAAGCCCAGAGCCCTCTTCCTTTGGCAAGTGAAGAGTGTGCTACATTTATATAGTGCTGTTTATATTATATCAAATTATGAATTGTATATTTTTTTGTTAAAAAAGTTTCAATAAATAGGGGTGTCATACTAAAGGACAACAAAACTTCATTTTATCCAAAAAAGTTCAAAAATGCTTGGTAACACTTTATTTTGATGGTCCATTTGAGTATTAGTAGACTGTCTGCTTAATATCTGTTGATACTGCTCCTTCCACAGACATTTAACTGACTATAAAAAACTTTGCAAGTACATGTCAACTTACACTAACCCCAACCTAACAGTCTACTTATAATCTAATGAGAATTAGTTGGCATGTAGATGTAATGTAACTTAAATTCAACAAACAGATCATCAAAATAAAGTGTGACCAACAATTCTGAGAGAAAAGCTTCAATTAAACGATCATGAGTGGGGTCCTTCAACTAAGTAAATATTTCTGTAGAATTGCCTGAATTAAAATGGGCATGTATATGTATATATATATATATATATATATATATATATAATGTCACACTAGAGGACACTAGACATGGTTTACACTGACACAGTGTAACAAGCTTGTATGTTTTTAGAAATATATGGATGGAAAAACATTGCTATTTACTAAAATAGCCACTTGTAAAATTAGACATCAGCAGTGGTGGAGTATGTCTGAAAATCATACTCGAATAAAAGTACCATTGCTTGCCCAAAAAATGTAGCGCAAGTAGAGTAAAAGTATTTGTTGTAAATGTTAATCAAGGTATTACACTGTGAAAGGTTGAAGCATGCAATTTGTGCAGGGATGTGTAAACGTAACATTCTGTAGTGCATCTGTAGTGATTGTTTAGGCCTTTTGGCAATTTAAGACATTATACAGTCGACATCCTTCATTTTCTCATCAGTGACATGTAGTCTTTAAACAGTCTCTCGATCAGTGCATGTAAATATTTTAGATCATCTTGGACACTTAATGTTTTCAAACAATTTGTTGCATTGATAAAGCGCCCATGTCATGACATAGTTCAGTGTGATGCGATTTGTTTTCTATGTGTGATTTGATTAGACAAGAATCACAGGACTGATTTTTTACTCAGCCAATCCCTGTAGACAAGAAAAAAGGTAAATAGGGACTGCATGGAAAAGGAAAATAGTGAAGTAAAAGAACTGATACTACACTAAAAATGCATTCAAGGGAAAGTAAAAGTTCACATTTTTAAAATTAATTAGTAAATTACAAATTCTGAGGAAAACTACTCAATTACAGTAATTTGAGTGTTTGTAATTTATTAAAAGATGTCTAATTGACGTCTAAACATAGTCGTCTTTGCTAAAACAAGGCTAAATGTGGGCTGCCAGTGAAAATCTAACTATGAATCAGCCAAAGCTAGACTAGTCATCAAATAAACCGAAATGATTGACTACACATATGAAGTCCGTCTAATTGACGACTAGTCTAGTTCTGGGCTATTTTCAGATGTCAACTATATTTTCACTTTTTAGCCCAAGTTTAGCCTTGTTTTAGCCAAGCTGTCTACATTAAGATGTCTATTAGACGTCTATTAAGTGAATTTTATTCATAAACCAGTTTGGAGAGGATCACGTGCTTATGATTGCTTGCAGCCGGCCCTGCATTATTCAATCCATGATTCACCAATCAGACGATTCCTAAGCCACTATAAATAGCCTAAGTTCCATATAACAGCCATCTTCATTTTGAAAAATCTCCCCTTCCACCCCTATTTCCCCTCCTTTCCTAGATGGGTGGCACCGTGGCCCAGTGGTTAGCACTGTTGCCTTAGAGCAAGAGCTCTCTGGTTCTAGTCCTTACCAAGCCAGCCGACATTTCTGTGCGAAGTTTACATGTTCTCCCCGTGCTCATGGTGGTTTTCACCGGGTTCTCCGGTTTTCTCCCACCGTCCAAAAACATGCAACTTAAGTTAATTGACTAATCCAAATCGGCACCATAGAAATGCTCCTAGTAGTTATCTCTTAAGAGCAATCCCTATCTGTTCATTAGCTGTTCAACAGCAAGGGAGTTTTCGAGATCTACCTGAGCTCAAACTCCCCTCTCGCTTGCAAACGGGAGGGAGCCCCAGACTCAAGGATTTTATGAGCTCAGGGCTCTCTCCTGGGACAGCATGCCAAACAATCTTTATAATCAATTTTAACAGCTAAGTGTGAACTCTTGAAACAAAATTGGTTGCTGGGGAGATATTAATTAATGATTTTCTTTTTAATTTATTAGAGCTGTAATTTATTGACTATAGGACCGTTTTGAGGTATGGCTCAAAGATTTACAGTAGTATTTATAACAAGAGCTGCACTGAAGACAAAGAAAAAAGTTAAACCAATTACTGCATTTTAAATGACAATGCTAATTCTATTCATTTTCATCATGTGCCACTGTTGAAAATCCAACGTCACCTCAGCAACCCATACGTCTTTTGGGAATGTGAATGATGTGAAGTGTGCGCAGATGTAGCGCAAAGAAATATTGGAGCAGACATCTCATTAACACTCAAAGCGCCTGACACACACATGCGCAGGAGCACTGAAACGAGCGTGCCAAAACTCCCTGCCAGCTTCTTCAAACACATCCATACCTCGTTGAATTCTGGGTTGAGGGTCTTTTTAATCACTGACGTTTTGTGTTTGGATTTCTTCTTCACATCTGGCTTCAGGTATCTGGAAAGAGAACGGCAGATAGCAGAACAAAGTGAGGAGGGCAGGAGATTCAAACAAGCACACGCATACGAAACCGACTCCGGACACGTTTGCGCGGAGCTGTTTGCGTTTCGGCTTTTCTCCTGGTGACGTCCCAATGGCCTCCATAAAAATTTGATTTGCTTTATGTACTGCTGTTAACTCTCAGCCACCCTCCCCCCAAGACACACAGTTCGAATATGGCTTTGATCCTGAGGAAAAGAGAGAATGTGTATGTGTGTGTTTGCGAAAGAGAGTGAGAGAGAGATACTGGAAGGGATGTGAGCGTGGGTGGGGGTCCTGTCTGTTCTTATGCCATTTTGCCTGGGGAGGAAAAACTGTTTGGGAGCGTTTATTTTAATACATGATGTGAGAAATAATGAGAGATTAAAGGGGGGGCACAAATGAGAGAGTGAGATGCAGAGACACATCAGAGGAAAGACGTAGGACGTAGAGTGTTTTTTTTCTAGCCTTATTATACTATCTCTCTCTCTCTCTCTGTCTCTCTCGCTCTCGTTTTACAGTTTCTCCTACTCGCTGTCCACCTCTGAGATTTGTTAAAGGCATCTTTCTTCCAAACTGTGTGTTCTTTTTTTTATCTTTGGCCTTTTTAGTTTGTCTCTTTTTTGTTCTGGCGTCTGTTGCCTCGCTGTATAATGCACCTTACTGTATATTCCACTTTTATGCTTCATTTGCTTGAATGGTGTCTTGCCTTTTTACCTTATAACTCATTTGTTTATTCATGTTCTTTTAAGCTTAGTCTCTTTATTAATCTGGGGTCGCCACAGCAGAATGAACCGCCAACTATTGTTGTTTATGTTGCATGGGTATATTTTTGGCGTATGGGTGAAATTAATTGATTCTTCTTTGATGAAAATTATTATAATATTAAGTAAAGATTGTGTTTTGTAATGCTAACCATGGTGGCTCAGTAGTCAACACTGTCGCCCTAGAGCAAAAAGGTCTCTAGTTTGAGTCTCGGCTGGCCCAGGTGGCATTTTAATGTGGAGTTTGCATATTCTCCCCGTGTTTCGTCGGGTGCTCTGGTTTCCCCCACAGTCCAAAGACATGGTATAAGCGAATTGGATGTTTTTTCGCTAGGTTTACAGGGTTGTTTGGCGAAATCTTACATTTTCACATAGGGATCTGAGAAGCCATTTACATCCATGGCAGCCAGATGAGCGCAGCGCAGCACTCCGACACATAATCCCCCTCGCCGGGACTCTCCTTCACCCTCTGCAGGTGGGGGAAGGAACTGCAGCGAAAGCAGCAAACGACCCCTCTCTTCCAAACTCGTCATTTGTTCATTCTCCCACTGTAGGAAAGAAGAAATGAAGGTTAGGTTAGATGTCTGTCTAATTAGCTAAAATGTTCCACTATCTGAAATGTTGTAGTGCTTTTTTATTCTCTGTTCTCCATCTATGTCAATTAACACAATCTACATTGTAAAAGCGCTATAGAAATAAAGATTAATGAAATTTAATTGAATGGGTTAGGTCTAAAAATGTGACACATTTTACTGATGGAAACACCAGCAGTTCCACCAAGGCAGCAAAAGAATAATGTTGAGGTTTTATGTGGGTGTAGTTTTAGGGCTAAAATTATGTGCATGAAAAATGAGGCATTGTTTGGATATGGTTACTTGAGAATCAACACAGTCACTATGGGGTGGAAAGGCAGCTATACATGAATGAATGCATAAGGGGATTTTGCTCCAGGTAGTTAGGAATTCAGTTATAGGAACTATCAGGGCGGTCCCTGGAGAACTGCGGTTTTCCCTCAAGCCATTTTTCTAGTTGCATTTGCAGTCTCCAGGAACTTTGAAGTGACGTAAGCCAGCAGCAATGACATCAAGCTGGGGATTCAGTTAAATCAACAACTGGAAAATGGAAAATAGCATGACTGAAGCTGTGTTTTTGTTGTCTGAAATTTGTGTTTACATTTTGCAACTGACAGATCAAAAAGGCGAGATAGGGGACAACATCTCCTTGATTATAATACTACACATCATCAAGGCGGAGAAAAAAAACAATGCAGCAGACAAAGGTAAAGAATATCCATAAATTAGCAGCTTTTCATATTTTATTTTTTTTTCCAAATTTATTTATGCTTTTGAATTGTATTAAAAGTTTGAAAAAGTGACTTTTATTAACATTTTTTTAAGGTTTAAAGTGATTTATCGTCTGGGTTGGTGTTGTAAAATGTTAGAAAAACCTAATAATAGAAAGCCAGCACGTTTTCTGTCTTCCACTGAATGGAACGGAACAGTTTGGTATGCTTGGTACCAAAAAGCAAACCAAACCCTTATCACTTTTTTAGCACAAGAAAAAGGTACCAAAAGGCAGAGCCAGGTACACAGCTGAACACTATTGGTTTAAAGAGAAACATCACTAGGGCGTGCACAAGCCAGGAGAATGAAAACATAGGAAGCGCCATTTTTAAATACACAGCCGAAACATTACACCATAATAATATATAGGGGGCTTAACATTAACACCCGCCAACACGCCAATCGTGGGTAGATCTTAGATGTGGCGGGTTAGACAGACACACCAACTAGCCACTTTGGCTGGTTGAAAATCATTTTTAAATTGCCAGTGCACTAAAGATTAAAATTATAGTTTATGACCATGTGTCAATATGCGAGCAAATGTGACCTTAGAATTGAGAGGCAGCACAAATAACTGTTAAAATAACCGCTCGCATGAGCAAAAGAAAGCAGGCGAATACTGAATGAAAGTATGATCATACGTACGGAGAGACACAGGTGCGCTCCCCTTACCTTGCGCGAAGCGACCGTGCCTGGAAACGCAACCGGTACGACCGGTTCTCTTTGAAACACAGACAAAAAGCAATGCTCGCACATCCACTGTCCTGCTGCTTTCAAGAGCTCAAGAATTTTTGTAAGCAGCAGCAGTTGCCACTTTCACTTTAATCATTCTTTGAACAGATTATTAATGGACCTAATGTTAACTGTGATCATGCACGTGATCATCCATCATCGCACACAGTATGTTTTTCACCTGCTTTCTTGCTTACAGTTATTTTAATTTGGGTTTAATTGTCATCATTTACTATAACATTAAGGTATAGTTAACTAGTGATCTGGGACTTTTAGCCTGGATGATACTGTGGATAATTTTAGATACATCAGAATACATCTTTTATTTTGAACGTCAATTTTTAAGAGCATTTTTGTTGAATAAAAAGTGTATGTATATTGCTATATTTTTCTTGTTTTGACACAATATTTAAAAAGTCTGACGTGGAAATATTTAGTTTTGTGAGTCCAGAGAAGAATTTGGTAAATCCTTGTAGTGTTGAATCCTGAAAAGTCAAGTGAAATAAAACTAATTGCAATGCCACACTATGAAGCCACAAGCCATTTTCTCATGCTCATTGAGCAATTTATGCATATAATATATATTTTCCCAACAACAAAATCATGGCTAGTGAAAATAGCGAGTGGCTAGTAATGTTGTGAAACTACTAGCCACAGTGGCTGATGATCAAAAAAGTTAATGTCAAGCCCTGAATATATACATATAATAATAAGCCATGGTCGACCCAAGCTCAAAGAATGAACAATAAATTAGAATGACTGAATTACTTTTTAACAAACTGTTAATGACGTTACATGTGTTGGTAAAGAATACAGATGAGAGGTTTGTACTGACAGTATATGTTTCTTATCATTTATGAACCCAAATAAGGCCTAAATGTATGTTTTGAGTATAGTTTTTGTAATTGGTAAAATTTCAGACTCTGTAAATCTCTGTATGTGTTCTAAAATGTTTTATTTATTTTTTAATTGTATATAATTTCAGACATTACAGTAGGCTATTTTGCATTATCATTGACCTGCAGCTATAATTAAATCCTGCTCATAAAAAGGTTAGTTATTAACATTTATTTATACATATAAGTATTTATGTGTATGAACCATTTATTTAGCAAGAAGAAGAAGAAGCTTCTCATACGATATGTGAACTTCAAGCAAGAATAACATCGACTGCAACTTTCAAAAGGATACCATTGGTACTATTTGGCAGCGGAGACACAAGACTGATGAAGGGGACTTGTACCGTATTGTACCACTCAATAGCTGCAATTCCACTGTCGGGCTAGTGCGAGCCAGGGCTTTTTGAGATCGACAGAGCTGGGAAGCGAGCGCTCTTTCGCTGGGTTTCACACATGTACATGCATCTAAACGCGTATGTTTCATGCACAAACACACCTTTTCAACTTGAAAAAACTCTCGACAACTGAAAGTTACTGACTGCTGTGTCTTTAATGTGGTGTAAAGGTTATTATTGAAACATCAAGGAGGACGCAGCAAAGAAATATCACATATTAAATTAAAACCAGGCTATACTTTATTATTTTATGCAACACCCTTACATTTAAAAGGGAAACATGAGGGCAATCTTAAGCAAAAAAAAAAAAACCCTGTGTTTTATGAAATAGCTGACCAGCTATATGGTTTTCTTTTCCTTTTTTATTTACTTTTTGGTGCATGTACACCTTTGCGATTGGAAAACTAGTGTAACGGTGGACTTGGGCAAACTCCGCCACTCCTTTCAATTCGCCCTGCAGTCCCAGCTGGCCCGCTTTGGCTTAAAGTATACGGCGTGCCGAAAAAAGGCCAGCCGCTGGCCCCGAGGAACCCCCACTTTGGCCCGACCAGGCCCCGAAAGTGACAGTGGAAAAGCGACTGGCCATGGCTGACCCTGGCACGCTCGCTATAGGCGCTACAGTGGATACGCAGCTAGTGAAAATGAGGCATATATGTTTACTGTGCAGTGTTTTGTATGGGATGCTTTTATCCAAATCTATGAAACACACATCACTAGTAGTTCCTATTGTGCTGGGTTGAATCCTACTTTGAAGTAGAAACAGATTTACTTCCCCCAAAAAATGCAGCTAAAATCATTCAGTTTCTAGAATACAAACTCACAGCCAATAGTTCTAGGAACTAGAAAGCAATGCACTTAATCCGGCTACTTATATCTCTATCTGTACAATAGTATATAATAGTGTGCATATAATCACAGGGAAAAAGTATTGTAAAAAAGGTTTGCTTTGTGACCAACTCATTTAAATGAATGACTTTGTGACGGATTTTCAATTACTTTGAAAGGATTTTAACAATGACACCCCCTGGGGTAGTGAACAAACAGCTGGAATAGAGAGCTGATTGAGACACACCCTTATATTTAAGTGCCAAATGACTGATTGAAGGAACTTGATTAGACATGTTCTGTTGAAAATAGCAGCGGTTGCTAGGCAGCAAAAGAATAATGTTGAGGTTTTAAGTAGGCCTGTATTTAGGCCTATAATGAGATGCATATGAAATGCTGCATCATGCCTTGTTTACAGTAATTTATGCAAGAATCAACACTGTGTCATTGTGTGATGCAGAGGCAGATGTGTGGACCCATTATTACTGTGCAAAAGTCTTTGGTCACCATTGTATTATATTATATTATATTATATTATATTATATTATATTATATTATATTATATTATATATTATATTATATTATATTATATTATATATTATATTATATTATATTATATTATATTATATTATATTATATTATATTATATTATATTATATTAGTGTTACAGAAAAGCGAATCATCACAGTTCCAATAAGTTTAGTGTCGGTAAGGTACTAGCTAGTGCCCTAATTTGTATTCAAAAGATTCTCATATTGAGTCATTTGTAAATTCAATAGTGAGCTTAAAGACACACATCCCAAGGTTAAGTCTGGAAATCTTCCTTTGACTTACAATGATTGAATATAAAAGTGAAGCCATTGAAGTGGTGTTATTGTAATGTTTGCTTTCTTACATATATTTGCATACGGAATTTGGATTGGTCTATAATTAATATAATATAATATAATATAATATAATATAATATAATATAATATAATATAATATAATATAATCAGTAAGACGTTTTAAAAGTCAATTCTGCTCACCAAAGCTGCATTTATTGATCAAAAACACAATAAAAAATGATTAAATTGTGAAATACTATTACAATTTTAAATAAAATTAAGATTAATTTACTCTTGTCATTCAATTCTTAATTTTCTTCATAATTTCTCCAGTCTGTTCTCCAAACTACATTCAATAAAATACAATTTCCCAGTTTATTTTCTTTATTAAATGCAGCCTTTGTGAGCAAAAAACACTTATTATAAAACAAACAAATCATACTGATTCCAATCTTTTGACTGGTAGTAGGTAATATTTGCTGCTTGTTTAAATGTCCAGTGAAATTAAAATAAGTTTTTTTAGATGT